GTAATCAATGCGGCTAAAGATAAACACATGGATGAGTTTCTCTAGATCCTGCTGAGACATCAGTCCTCTAATCCTGGAGATCCTGGAGAACAGTATGCAAACTTTGATTATTAGACAATTTTTATATATATTTTTTCTTTCTTTCTGCATCATTTACTGCTCAATTTGGCAGAGATGCATTTTATACATTCTGATTTGTTCAGGAGCTCAGGAGGACCACAGGGAGGAGCAGATAACCCACTAACAGGGGCAGGTCACGCCATCAGCCCTGCTGCCTGTCGGCCAGGTGAAAACCTGGCTGCCTGGAACCCCATGACCATGGGGACTGTGGCTGGAGAAGAGAAGACAGCGGTGGCTGGATGCAGGCTGGCAGCGTGGGGCAAAGAATCCACAGCGGCAGCAAAAGGTGCCAAGTCACTGAGGCGGCAAGAGGCACTGCGTTCGCTTCGGCGGAGAGAGCTGAGACCACACCGGCGAGAGGAGTAGTATCCACAGCTCCGGCGGTGAGAGCCAAAGTGTCTGTAGCACCGGGAGCGAGGGGCGCAGAGTCTGCAGCGGCTGCAACTGGAGGTGTGGCAGGCGCAGGAGACAAGACCAGAGCTGTGGCTGGAGCTAGGGTGGTGGAGCGGAAGAAAACTAAAGCTGTCTGCCTCCAGTTGCAGCTCCACCAACCCCAGGTACGAGAGATGGGCAGACCAGCCCTCCTGCACCAAGAGGAGTCGGATGGCGACCCCAATGCGCCTGAGGGCGAAGTACGGTTCCACCACAATCTCCACATAGTTTTTTATTGTTGAAATTAATTCATCCCAACTTGCTGGGTCCATGTTGATGTTCCTTTTCGCATTCCTCACCTTAGTTACGCTTGGTTGGGTCCTTCTGTCATGACTTGTGCGGTAGCAAGTCATGACTTGCTACTGCAAGTCACTACACCCAGGTTGTAGTAAATGATGATTGTTTAATGATGAAGTAATCCAAAAATCCAGACAGCACAGATGAACTGACTAAACAAAGCTCAGAGCTGGTAGCAACTGGAAACGACTGAACCAAAACGACAGGACAACACAGAGACTCACTAGACACAGAAACCTAAAATAACAACACAGGAAAACTCAATTCACGACAAACATGATCATTATGGCTATATCTTTAATTATTTTTTGGTCACATTTAAAGTTGAAACATGTAGGTAAGGCCCATTTTTCCTTCTGCAAAAAGCTTCTCTTGTGTTTTTTTTTCTGAGGTTTCCAGTGTGACAGGCTGAAGTGATGAAAGGAGAAAATATCAAAGCTATGCACAGATTGTCAACTAATTCACACACAATAGTGAGTTTGCAATATTTTAGCAACATATCGACCTTTTTTCGTTGACTTTATAATGCAATAGACAAGACCACATCTTGTCTTCTGGTACAGTGAAAGTAGAGTTCTGAGGGTTTATTGTTTGAAAAAGTGCATGAAGCCTGACCTCCCAGAACATAACGCTGACTATAGTTGTTCTTACACCCACGGTCACTTATTGAGATTTTCAGTCTGGCTGAAAATGTTCAGGACAGAACATTTAAGACAACATTAAAACACAAGTGAAACTGTATTTAAAAGCGTTATAAAGATCAATGAACAATTAATGTGACATGTTTGCTGTTCTGCAGGCCTCATAAGTTTATTAGGGAACATTACACTGTAATACATCACCTTTGAAACACCATCACCATCACAGACAAACTGGTAGGAATGTGTGTGGTGTAACTTCAGGCCAGAGGAGAGAAGATGAGATAAGTTGGAGGTAGAAGGTGGAATAATTAGAGAGATAAAGGAAGTCAAACAGGACTACTATTAGGGTAGATTTATAGCAACTTGAGAGGCTTGATAGTAAGGAAAAGCTCTGTACAGATTAGCAGAACAGAGAGATCGAACTGGAATTGGTGTAGAGGAGGTCTGGTTGACAAAAGCTTGAAAAGGGAATGTGTTGATGACTAAACAGACAGTGGTGAGAGATGGAAGGAGAATTTTGAGAAGCAGAAGAATGAGAAAAATGAGATGGAGAAGAGATGGAGCAGAAATAGTGAATCAAAAAGTAAAGGACAACTGTAATAATGAGCTTAGGGAAATATGGAAGAGGATGGGGGGCAGAAGAGCAGTTGGTCCAGATAACAGTCCTGTAGAGGTATGAAGATGTTTGGGAAGTAGTGAAGTGGTGTTTTTGACCATTGTATTTGACAGAAGCTTCTTTCTGAGGAAACTTTTGTTGTGACTGACTTAAAGCATGAATGGTATTATGTGAATGTTTGTCTTTGAATCTAAAGGCTGTTTTTCCAGATAAGAGTGTAGAATTAAATCTGTTTGAAGAAGGAATAAGACTGAGATCTGACAGATCTGTGTCCATTGTTGAAAGTGAATCAAAGACAGATTCACTCTTCAAAAGCGTATTAAGTTGTGTTTTACTAAAGCAAATCCAGTTACCATATAGCTGCAGGTTAGGGTTGACGTTGCCATTACATCCCAACTCCTTGGCCTTCAGGATCTGCTGGAGCACAGCTTCTACAATGGGCATCACCATGGTAACTGCCGAGGTGTTTTGAACCCACATGGAAATGAAGGCACAGCCAGACATGAAGCCCAACATCAGCCTGGAGGCAACAACATGTTATCAGAAACAGGAACAAAGCAATCACAAGTTCACACTTAAACTAGGTTTGGTTTCACATGTTGAGTAGAGCACAAGGGCCACTTTATTTTTATTATGTAACCACTTTATTTTCTGTTGTAAGTTGCATAGGAATTGCCCTCTTGTGGCCATTTGAGGACTACAAAGGTTTTTATTTTTGTCTACTTAATTTTTCTGGGATGGATGGGATGAAGGGGCATTGCCCATCCACACCTGCATTAGACTGGAAGTTGTTTATTTTTATTTGGTGTCCTATTTTGTTTGCTTATTTGTTTGGTTTTTCACCACGGAGTGGCCAACTTTCCATTATTCCTATCTTGATTTGATACAATAAAGGTTCCTGCACTGTATCTTTGTCCTCTGTTGTTTCCTGCACTTTTTACAGCTGCTACAACTGCTCAATCCGTTGTTAACATAGTGAAACATGTTTTACCGAGCCGCCTTTGTATGAGCATGAAGATGCTCGTGCCGGTTTTACACCTGGAGCTACTGCTGTGCAGTGCTGTACCCCTGTGCATATTAGAATCATGGCAGCAAACCAGCAAAAGGCAGAAAACATATTTTTTTTCCAAACAAGCAGAATAAGTTGAGTAAAACTGCTGCATGTGATGTGGTGGTGCAGGGGTTAAGCACAACCCACATATGGAGGGCTTAGTCTTCGACGTGGCCGTTGCAAGTTCAATTCCTGGCCTGGTGACCTTTGCTGCATGTCTTCCCCTTCTCTTATTACCCATTTTCCTGTCAATTTATTATCAAATAAAGGCCACTAGAGCCAATAAAACCTTTAAAAAAACTGTTGCATGCAGATAGTAAGCTGTTAACTCTATAATAGTTTGTGGTTTTAAAATTGCATATGCTATTTAGTTTATGGGAATTCTTAACATTGCTGGGTTTCAGATGGTGTAGCATTAACATCACCCAATGAAGATGGGGGACAGGAAGTAAATGCAACCCGTTTATTTCTGTTGATCCAGCTTGAAAATGCCTAAAGTCTGTGTCCTGTGTGGTTGTTCCAACCGTTCTAAGAGAGTTGGTCACAAGGGAGCTAATTTAAAAAAAAATTACTGAAAAAAGACAAGAAAAGTGGATCAACAATCTATGACTAAAAACAGAAAGTGGGCACTGCAGACTCTGGCATTGTTAGTTTCTGCATCTCCTAACAGGTAACAATCTCATTGTTTAAATTATGTTTTCAGATATTTTATTGGACAGTTACTTAGAAAGACAATGATTCATATGCAAGATAGGATATATTATTTTTATGCCCTGGCTTGGTAGTCCTCAGAGTGCTAATGTTGTTAGCAGCTCACTCAGTCCTTAGTCCTGGACAGAAAATATAATGTTTATTCTGTGGGACTTTCATGATAAAAAAGCTAAATAAATTAAATGTAACCTACCCAGCCATACAGTCACAGTGAGCTGTGACTATATTCCCCCACATGGTTTGGTCTGAACTGACATGAACATGGGGTTTCTGTATTTTTTCCAATGTACATCTTAATTTTATTCTATGATTCATATGGGTTTTAATCCTGTGCAAACTGACATAAAATGACATGATGATGAACTCTGTCAATGCTGACTGAACCGTGTGGGCGTGGCCAAATGGCGAGTTGCAGTCCCTCGCCATATGCATAGGATTGTCTCTAAATCACACATGGAACATAAGATTGCCACAAAACTGGATATGTATGACCTTTATTCACCATTAAAGAGCCCAACAACATTGAATTGTAATTTAACTTCACTGCACCCCCTAGGTTAATCTAACAACTCTATCTCTTCGCTAAATCAGCCGATCTGCACCAGATTTTTTGTGCATTGTCTGGGAGCGTTGTGTGGCACTCGCAGTTCAACGTCGCTCTGGCCTATTGACGACTGCGGGGGTTCCAGCACCCCCGCCAGCTCGCCACCGCAGATGCTCTCGTGCAGTTCCTGCACCCGTCAGGAAGATGGGTGCGGATGGGTGCATCCACATCGATGCATTCAGCTGTGCTCCCCGACGACGCACAAAAAAGCTGGTGCAGATTGGCTGATGTAGTGAGGAGATTAACCTAGAGGGTGTAGTGGAGTTAAATTACAAGTTGAACATGACAATGTGATCAGGTCTGGTTTGTAGTGAGTCATATGAAGTCTGATGCACCTGTGACCTTGGATGTGAAAGTTATTGCACCTTGATGTTTCATGGCAAATAGTCAAAGTTTGACACTTAGCCACACCCACATGTTTTGATGTACAAGAAATCTTTTGATAACTTTTGACTTTCAATACCTCAAGAGTGTGCAGAGTGATTTTAAAGTCTGTATCTGAAAAGCTGTAGGACGAGTTCAATCTGATTTGACGTCTATAAAAAAAGACAAAATGACGGCTTTGATCCAAAATGGCTGACTTCCTGTTGTGTTTGGACCATGGCTCCAAGACACTTTTTTGTAGTGTCACACATGTGTATCCTGACAAGATACACATGTGTACCAAGTTTTATAATTGTAGGTTAAAGCGTGGCTTGGGGCTGATAATTTAAAATATTCTAGGGGGCGCTATAGAGAAATTAGGCCATGCCCACCAAAGATTGCTAGAGATTCCTTTCAAGGGTTGGATCCATCCCAGTGAGTTTAATGCAGCCTAGCTTGAAACTGTGGAATTTAGAGCCAAACGTATGGCAACGGCGTTACAGATCACTTTGCCACATCAGTCGGGGTTGGAATCCACATCACCCCAACAAGTCTTCTGTCTCTGGACACAGTTTCATGTTGTTTAGATCAAAGGGGTCAGATAGCGACCCTTCACAGTAAAACATGACACTTCTTATTCTTAGGGGGCGTGGCCTTAGTGATGTCATCATTTGGGTACTGTAGGCCACCCGATGATGATCAATCATAGAAAGTTTGGTGCCTCTGTGAGTTTTTATGTAGGAGATATAACAGTTTCGTGTATCATGGCAAGTAGGCGAACTTTCACCCTTGGTAGCACCCCTTCAGCATGCACAAAAACCCACTGTTTTGATAACTTTTAATCGGCCATGCTTTATGAACAGTTTGACCAAGCTTGAAGTCAATCGATCAAAATCCCTAGGAGGAGTTCGATCAAATGTGAAGGCTGTAAACGACGGCCAATTTCCTGTTTGAGTTGCACTATAACATTAATTGTACTTTCTGTGCATCTTGGGGAGCTCTACAGGTGTACCAAATTTCATGTCTCTACGATGAAGTAAGGTCATAGCAGAGGGTCTTTTGAAAATTTCCAGGTGGCGCTGTTGAGCCGTTGAGCGTTCTTTTGGGATTTTTGTGACAACCTTAAAACATGTAAATTTCACACAGGCTTGACGTGTCTGCCAAGTTTTGTGAGTTTTTGAATATTATAAGGTCCCCAAAAAGCCCCTTCTTTTGGAGGTAAGAAAAAAATAAGAAACAGTACCATTACAATAGGCCTTCGCAGCACTTCACTGCTCGGGCCTAATAAATCGTAAAGAAAGAATTCCAGACAGAACAATAAGAAAGTAAAGAGATCCAAATGCAAATGCTTGCTTTTGCAGTGAAAATGTAATTACCCCGCAGATAATTCATGCACTTCGGCACACAGACCAATGCGTTACATCTTTATGAGACAAAAACTGAGGAAATGTACTATTTACATTCGACTGAGGATTTCAAATCCTTTTATTTTATTTTGTGTATGTGTATTATGTTATTTTCTGAGGATAAATGCTGTTCAGTTTCATCATTTACATTTAAACAATAAAAGATTAAAATCCTGAAAAAATATCGGGTACGTTTCAGTGTATTTAGGCGAGTTTTAGCACCTCCTAATTTGTTATTGTCGACAGAAAAAGTTTGCGTGGCTGCCATACATTTTCACGCCATGTAAATTTATATATAATTCATATGTATAACTTTCATGACACGTTAATTTTTATGCAGGCCAACTTGTGCGTGTAATATGGCGCCGCAAATTTTTTGTGCACGAAGCCACTGAATAATAAAGGTACTAGAATCCAGCAGTCTATTAGAAATGTGCTCACCATGCAGGGTTGACTCCCACCATAGAGACAATTCTCAAGGCTATTCTTCGGTGAAGACCCCACTTCTCAATGGATGTAGCCAGGCAGATGACCCCCATTAACAAGAAGTGGAAATCTTTGAAGTACTCTTTTGCCACCTTAAAGCAACATGGATAGTTTTAATAAAATCAGTAATAATTTGATAAACCAAATCATAAAACCAGAACTGCAACTGCAACTGTTGAAAACAACAAAATGCAGTCGAGGTGGATTTATTCACAGCTGCAGGTTACATTTCTACTGACACCCATTTCACATTGAGACCGAGAAACTGGCTTTTATACCTGAGGTAATTTCACCACTCATAGCAAGTAAAGGGGTGATAAAAAAAACAAACAACTAACAATGCATACATAGACCTAACATAAAAACAATAAATGCTACCAACAAATATTTACATGCATGCAAATCACTAGAACTAAACTAAGATAAATCAAATAATAAATTTAACTTAATGTAACTCCTCAGAGCATTACCCCTCCTGACTGAAAATGGTATGCTCCAGGAGCTTTTCAGCAGCACCTGGAGCATTTGTCTCCCTTTGCTATTCCAACGAGCTGAGAAGACACACCCAAAAAGGTAAGCAATTAACCTAAAATTAAACCAATAAAAATTATCAGAAACAAACTGACATTTCCCCCACATTGTTCCTGTACAGGAAGGATGGCCAGTTCCTCTGCCTGAAAGAATGTTTAACTAAATGTCGCAATGTAACTGAAATAAAGAACTGAAACAAAAAGCATTTGGTATGTCAATAAAATCAATAATCATTTATTAGGGATGGAACTATTAGTCTCCACCACAAGAAGTGTTTCCCAACCCTGGTCATCAAGCCCCCTGTCCTGCATGTCTTGGGTGTCTCCTTGGCAAGCCCAGATTTTAGCATGAGCTTACTGGGGCTCCAGTATGACAGCAGAGCAAAGGCAAGAAAGAAAAGAGCGTAACAAGGAGGTAATAAAGAAAATATCCAACCTTTTTTAAACCTCATATTGGACATGGAACAGATCTATTGTCCCTCTCCGCTTCTCAAAATGTTAGCTATGCTAACAGTGGCTTTATTGTCCTGCCAGAACTTGGAGCTGTATCTGACCTGGCACCTGCGGAGTCGGTGGAAGCGCAGTTTTCTTCATGGATAAGCTGTACAGTACTGATCCTGCGCTTTGGGTAAAAACTGATGAGTTTGTGTGGGCTAGGGTTAGGGTTAGGGTTAGAAGCAGGGAGCTGTCAGAATATGGATGTTAATTTAAAAGCATCGGAATGGGTTTACAAACATCAGAAATGACTCTTTTCCAGATCGCGCTTTGAAAGCCAGCTTGCAAGCTACAAGTGCAAACCCAGTGGCTGATGAATCTATCCACTGCAGCTGTGTTTTGTATTTCTAACGATGCTAAAAGTCAGTGATGTTTTGAAATGGATTTCCATGGCTCAAAACATGAAATAGAACATTTAAAAGAGCAAGAGAAGAGCGGAAGTCGCAAAAAAGTAATGCGACTGCTCAACGCAAACTTAAAAAAGCGCAACTAGCTGGAGGACATCTCCTATTCATATATATGGCAAAGGGCCAAGTGTACAAAATAGTTCAAGTGTGTCATGCCCTGCCCTGACACGCAACTGAATGCAGACATCATCAAATTAAAGTTTGACCAGGTCTGGCCGTGAGAGGGGAAATACTCACCCTGTCAGTCTGAGCTTGGTAAGGAAATAAACCTGATAATTACAGAGAAAGATACAGTTGATAAAAATTGAAAGAGAAAAGGAGACAGATAAAGATAGAAATGAAGAAGGATAAAAAGACAGTACATAGAGGATGGATAGAGAACGTTGTCAAGTTTTTTTTTTCATTAGGAATCTTCTGTGGAATATGTCGACATATTTAAGATGTTCAAGTATTTCTTTAATAACTACTAAATATATTTTGTTTGCAGTAATGGTCATTACATTGCTTACAGTAATCAACCGCTCTAATGAAATATTGCTATTTTAAAAAGAAAGCAGTGGTGCACCGATTGCAATTTTAACCTAAAAATTAAACCAATAGAAATTGATAACCAATCTTTTTTATATATATATACTTTATTTTTGATTTTTTTAACATCACAAAGTTCCGTTTAAAGAGATTTTTAAGGTTATCAACAAACACCCATAAATATTTTAAACCCTCAAGGGTTTGAAAACTGGACATGTTTTTAACTTTACTGTAGTCAAATACAGACATTGACCAAACCTCACTCTTTTCCAGGTAAACTTTGTATCAGGAAAATGAACTGTATTTACTCAGTAGTTCCTGAAGGTGACCGAGAGTATTCTGGATTAGTTAAAAATAAAATTATGTTGTCAGAAAAAAGTTAAATCTTGTGTATGTCAGAACCAATCTCGAAATCACTAATATTGGGATTGTTTTCTAATGGCTTCTGCCAAGGGCTTGATGCCAAGCGCAAAGAGGGAAGGACTAACTGGACTAACTGGACAGAGGCAACAGACTGGGGTCTGTTGCCTCTGTCCAACAGACAGATATCTGTCTGTTGGACAGAGACCATAGACAGACCATAGACCATATCTGATCTATGGTCTGGACAGAGGCAACAGACCGGGGTCTGTTGCCTCTGTCCAGCCGAAATGGATCAGAGGTGGTCCCATTGGTAATAACTCTAGCTTGAGGGGGTCTGATAGGTACTTTTTCTCGAACCTATATAAAAAAAATCACAGACAACGTATATGAATTTTATGGCCAAGCTTTTGCAAAAGGAGAAAAACTCTGTCAACTGCTCCTCCGAGCTGTTCACAGAGCATTCTGGTCTGCTTCAGCGTGAGCCCCTGTTTTATTGTCAAAGAAAACAGTCAAGGGGGCAGTCAAGAAAAACAACAGAGGTCATAAAACTTCTAACCCAAACAGCTAGCAACCCAATTCCAGGTGTGATATCTGATCTATGGTCTGAGCCCGGTTCAAATCTCGGTCAAACTGTTAAGACAAAATACGACTACAGACAGGCAGTTAGGAGGTATTCTGATTGATAAGAATTTAAGGTCTGAGAAACACAGAGTTAACTGTTTCACATGAAGATGAACAG